GCCTGCAGCAAGTGCAGCCGGTCTGATGGCCGAGTGCTGTGATGTGCCCAGTGTGGGTACTCTGGGCAATCCAAGCCAGGACTGCTTTGCAAGCGGGGCACCCCGGAGAACTGTCTGTCCGGGGTGGGGGTCAGGTCCCTTTAAGCACAGCCCTTGGCTAGCCTGAGGCAGCAGCTCTATGCTCTAAGTCCTCATCTGATGCCCTGCCGGCACTGCTTCCGGCCAGCCTTAACCCCGGTTCAGGGTCCACTCAGTGTGGACATGCTAGTTCGAATTAGCAAAACGCTAATTCGAACTAGTTTTTAGGTCTAGATGCACTAGTTTGAATTAACTTAGTTTGAATTAACTAATTTGAATTAAGTTAGTTCGAATTAGTGCTGTAGTGTAGACATACCCTCAGAGTTTCATTTAGCGGGTCTTGCTAAATTGAACTCAGAGGGTGCCCCCGTCAGTGGCTGGTACTCCTTCTTCTGTGAGGAGTAAGGGAAATCAACGGGAGTGTTTGCTCCCATTGGCCTTTCGCTGTGGGGATGACGGGGAAACTCGAAACCAGGTATGTCGACTCCAGCTATGTAATTAATGTAGCTGGAGTTGCATATCTAGATTCGACCTCCTTTAGTGTAGACCTGGCCTTAGGGTATGTGTACACTACGCAGCTTTTAGCGACACAGTCATGTCGCTAACTTCCACCCCCTATGACAGAGGTTACTTTGTTGGCAGGAGACCACCTCGGTTTTCCTGAAGTTATGGAGCCTTGTGCCCACTAGCTGGCCGTGGGAGGGAGGCACAGCACTGATGGCCGATGTTGTGCGTGTCACACACAACTCATTGCAGCGCCTAGGCCACTGACCATAGAGGGAAATGACCAGTGATCGGGGCAGGAAGCTACTCCCTGCAAAACACACAGTTAATTGGGCCAGCTGCAGCACAAAGCCAAGCTGGTTGCTACAACTGTGCTGCATCTCACGCCCGTGTACGAGCGTCCTTGCTCTCCCATGCTCTCTCTGGCAGAACCCAGATTCCTTACTGAGTGGCCTTCCAGCGTTGTAGGACTCCCTGCAATCTGTTCCAGGGATCCCCTGGTGCTGCAGAGCCAGCGGGTACATTCCAGCATGAGTAGCCAGACACATACCAGCTACCCCAAAACCAGCATGGTCACAGCAGCACAGGGTGGATCCTTGGGTTAACAGCTAGTATGCACACTGACACCCAGCCTGGGCAGCCTCCGTGCTGCCCGGGACGTACTGTTGCTTCTTGCACACTACCAGAAGCAGCACTAGTGTTTCTGGTTACCCGCCCTGGGCATACGCTTTAGGTACCTGGCTGTAAAACCAGTGTGAGGCCACAGAGGTGAATGCATTCACATGGGCATGAATGAGGGCTGAGTCTGGCCCAATGACTTTCAGCCTGGGAGGGGTTCAAGGAGTCTCTTTCCATAACTCTACCCCATGGCTCAGCTGCTAGGGCCTCTCCAGGCTGGGGATACATGGGAGGAGCCAATGTCCAGTCAGTAACTTACTTCTTCATTTGATATTGTTTTACACCCAACGGTTGTTTCTAAGTCACTATCCCAGCCTCCCCTGCCAGACACACCGGCTGACCCAGGCTCACCCCTGGGCTTTCATCCCCAGCAGCCCACATGCAAGATACGTACGGTCCATAGTGTACTAGGATGGAGCAAACCTTCTCCATTCCGGCCTCCTTCAAATTGGAACAAGCGGCATTAAGTTCATGGCAGTGACCTTGGAAATTTTCTTGCTCAAAGACAATGATCTAACAGGCAAGAAAGAGATGGAAGAACAGCAGCTTAGACAAGGGGGTTGAAGCCCTGTAGTGCATCCTTCCCATGAGCACAGGGGTCAGGGCAGGGCTGTTCCCTACCATATGTTCTCTTGTGGGTTCTCTTAGCCCAGGTAGACTGACTCAAGGGAGGAGACACTGACAGTCCCAGAATGTTCAGGGGGTAGCCAAGTTAGTCTGTACAGGCTAAACTTAAAAAACAACAAATGGTCTGGTAGCACTTTATAGACTAACAAAACATGTGGATGGTATCATGAGCTTTCAGGAGTCATCAAGTCCAGCCCCCTGCTCTAGGCAGGACCAATCCCAACTACATCAACCCAGCCAGGGCCTTGTCAAGCCGAGACTTAAACACCTCTAGGGATGGAGAATCCACCCCCTCCCCAGGTAACCCAGCCCAGTGCTTCCCCACCCGCCTAGGGAAATCGTTTTTCCTTATGTCCAACCTAGACCTGCCCCACTGCAACTTTTTCACTCCCCAGCCCAGCCTCTCCATCCTCTTTGAACCCCCCTTCAGGAAGTTGCAGGCTGCTGCCAACCCCTGCCCCCCCTCACTCTTCTCTTCTGAAGA